CGGGTCCAGAGGTTGCTTGATGCACCTCTGGACTTCGTCCGTCAGTTCATATAGATGCCTTCTGACGTTCCTAGGCGAGGGCTCCTCTGCAGGCAGCTGGCTGTTTGGGTGGCCACTTCTGTGGCTCCCGATCAGGAACTGCTTGCAGAGCATTATGTTGTGCTCCTTTACGGGGAGCATTTGCGCTTCGCCGTGTTGGTGTTGGGCGATATCAGGAGGCATCCTGTCGCTGTCGTAAGTGCGGTGTTCTGTGCAGTCTGTATCTTCGTCCGCTGCGTCCTACTGGTCCCCGGCGACCACACTGGCGCTGCGTAGTTCAAAACCGGCTGGCCTATTGCCTTGTATGTTGCCAGCAATGTTTCTTTGTCTTTGCCCCAAGTACTGCCGGCTAGCGACTTGAGGACCTTGTTGCGGCTCTGTACTTTATTGACAGTAGCGGTTGCGTGCACAGAGAAGGAGAGCAGGCTGTCGAATGTTACTCCGAGTATTTTGGGGTTATTCACCGTCGGAATTGGTGTGACCTCCTTCGTCCAGGTTGTGAACAGGGTCGCAGAGGATTTCGTAGGGGAGAGGGCTAGACACTTTGCAGTGAAGAAGCGAGAAAGTTCGGAGAGATACCCGTTTACTTTCGAACACAGGTCCCATTCCCAGTCGCCATGATCGAGCAATCGTCGGCATAAGAGACAATCGAGACTCCCTCTGGTGGTTGAGGGAGCTTTGAAATAAAAATCTTGCAGACTATTCCCGACTGTGAAAGGAACAATTATGATCCATTGATGGGGGCCGTGGAAAGACGCTATGGTAGGCACAGGCGTCAGATCTACCAGATGGAGCTGGAGAATCGCTGCCAGAAATCCAACGAGACTCTACAGGAATTCGCCTCCGAGGTTGAAAGGTTGGCTCATTTGGCAATTGGAGATGCATCTGGTGAGCACCTCGAAAGAGTAAAAATCCAGAGGTTCATCAACGGAATGCGGGACGTGTATACCAACTTTGTAGGCTGGTCTACTTAGGAGCGCCGCCGTTTCACGCGTCTGAGCATACGAGACAGTTTCAGCAAATGTTGG